GTGCCTGCAACACGTCTTTTTGTCCGGTCGGGTCTTGGAAGACCAGAAGCTGTGTGGTTCATAAAAACATGTTCTTACTCAATATCTTACCCTAAGTCTAACCCTATCCCTTTTATTTTAAATTGTATAATGTCTGAGTTTTTTTGCCGTCAGTGAGGAAAAGAAATGGGGCTCAGAGCCTCAGAATACTGAAATCTGTATTTTATGTCATCTTTTTTTCCTTCTAATTTGTTATTATTTGGTGCAGGCACGAAACATACTACCAATATAAATACATTGCTTCTAAAATCGTTCTGTGTCAGAATACTAAAGTTAACAGATATGGTTCTAAACTGTATTGAAGTAAACATGTATTATTTTGAACTGTATTTTAGTGAACATGTATTGTTTGAACTGTTTTAAGTAATCCTATATATATATTCTCTTCTCACTTACACCCACTGACCCAGATATCCTGCTACACATACATACACCTCCTCCCACCAGCACACACACATATTCTTTTCAAGGTCCTTTCTGGGCATCAATATATCTGTGTACAATGTTTGGTTGTCTGGGAAAGAATAGTTTGTGTGAAATATTCCTTGGGAAAGTAAAGGAGTGAATACAGGTGCAGAGATAAAGATTGACTCTGTCCTTGTGTACTTCCGAAGATCTCAGAAGAAACATACTTTTTCCCAGAACTCTGATTCGCTGTATTGGACCCGACCAGAAGTGAATCCAATCAGTAAAAACACCTGGGGGAGTGAGCAGCTCACACAGCTCCTCCCCACGGACTCTCTGATTCGCTTCGGAGTAAAATGGGACAGAAGAGTCAACACATCTCCGCCCCAAAAATGTTTATGAATACTGTTGTTTATTCATGCAAAATGCTTCCTGTTTCTGCCTGGCCGGTCCCGATACCTGTATTGCACGGCAGTAGAACTGGAAGTCCAGAGTACTCTGTAAACTTGTATAAGTGTTTTTTACCAGTAAAATCAGATTATTGTTATAACCTTTATTCCGGTGTTTTGAACTCCTTCTTTTATTAAATCTAACCAGGCTCATCTAACGAACGGCGCGTAGCGGAGGTGGGCTTTAAGCCACCACCACGGTGTTTGCTACTGTTATGGCAGAATGTTTATTACAGCGTATTTCTGGTATATTCATTAATGTCACATGGTATTAAGCAACAGTATAGTGGACGGTGTGGTGTTCATTTGGTTTGCTGGAAGGAGGCCCATCTATAGGCAACCAGCTGAAACTCTTCACCAGCAGTTGTATACATTGGCATGTGTGGTAGCTGCTAAATAAGGTCATGACATCTGGGATCATGTAGAACTAAGAGGATGCAACATATATGACTGTATAAGGTTGGAACATGTCCAAGTTCAGGAGAACTGACAATGTGTGTGCGTTAAACATGTTGAGGGAACATGTTCGTGTGTCATTTAGAAAAGTATATCTAGCCCTGTATTTCTTCTGTTCTGGGGGGGCAGTTCCGCGATTGGCTGCTGTGGCAGCAGGTGATGTACTTCCCATTATTGTTTGTTTGTTGCAACAACTAAATAATAATTACTGATCAGCTATATCTGTGTTTGTGTTTTATTGACTCCTCTCTGTTTCATTATTTCCTGTTGTGTGAGTGCTGGATCTCCACAACACTACAACAATACTTAAATCTGTATTTTTTTTATGTCTTTTTCCTTCTAATTTGTTATTATTTACATTGCTTTTAAAATCGTTCTGTGTGACACGAAAAAAAATGGCGAAATCGTGTTGGTGAACACGAATCAATAGATTAATTTCGTGACTATAACACGAAATGCCGTGAGACTGTGTTGCCCCATTGGACCCCTCCCACCGTTTTTTTCCGAGATAATGTCTCAGGGCTTCTTAACATTTATGAAACTATTAATGTGTAGCACCAGATTAACGGGAAGAATCTCAGCTAACTGAAGATATGAACCATTTTTACCAAAACAAAACACAAGTCTCATAAGAAGCGTCTAAATGACCCCTGAGCGAAAAAATTCTAACGCACTGCGGCACACAATTCAAGATAAAGATACCCTTATTACTTATCGTAGCTGCACATACAATATAGCCGATTAAAGCTGAGACTCCACTGATTATTTAGGTATAGTATCATCACTGAGCGATCCGAACTTGCGACAGGGGAAGCAAACACAGACATCACAACACGTACCTTTACGGAGCTTTTACGGCAGCTCGTCTCACCGTAGCTGTCAATTAGGTCAAAAGACGTGTTCAATGGCAAAAAATGCTACAACTGTTGATCCATAGGTTGATAATGTACCTGTGCCTTTGAAAAAATTATTTATAATCCATAATTAAAAATTTTATGTAAAAATCGGAGCGGAAAAGTTAGCTGCTAATGATAGCCACCAGAGTGGATGCAGCTTCCGGTTTTGGTAACGCGTCACTCTCACTCCTTATTTGTTAACGTTTTGGTGTGTATATAACTTTCCCTCGATTCCATTGGCTCTAGCGGTTATAAAGAGATTTCATTCATCAAAATCGAGCAAGGGGGGCCAGAGATAGGTCAAATCCACACAAATGACCCCAGAAGTGGGTTTTTTTGGCTAAATCTCTCTAAAAAGGTCAAATTTCACTTGTTTTGCATCAATCTTGATACAGGGTACTTATTATATGTTGTACTTTGGATTCCTAAAGCTTTTAGTCTACTAACCCATCATCCAAGGGTAGTTTTCACTATAAGTAAAAAAGAATTTTTGGACGGACACTATAATTTACAGTTTTTTACTATGTAAAATCTGAATTTTCTTTAAAATAAAAAACATCTATATTGATTCTGACTTTTCTACATCCAACTCACAGGTTTATCATTACTTTGAGAATAAAGATTATTAATTTAACCCTTTTAGAAGGGAAGATATGGTCATTTGTTCTGGGAATGTCATTTTCGAGCCTGAGACCTGAAAAACAAGCTCAGGGCTTAAGAGGTTAAAGGAATGATAATGTGAAAGGTTATCGATTGGTATTTCCGTTCTAACCTGCTGTTGTCAGCACCACGCCTCACAGAGCACCACCCTGACGCATGATCATTAAACCATCTCAGAGGAATGTGTTGAGGTCGAGTTGGAGCATTTCTCTTAACGTGAAAGTGATTAAAGAAGTTACAGAGAGGAGCTTGTATAAAATGGCATACCGTTTCAGAGGCTTGTTAAAGAACATGGATATTATAGATAAATATATCCCTTATACATTAATATGTGCGTTCCACACAGTTTTCTTTACTCAAAAACAACTTTAGTTTATGTCTAGGGGAGCACAAGGAGTAATATTATAAGTTTTAGCAAGCAATAAATGGAACTAAAACAACCTAAAAAGGCTGTTAAGGCACTTTAAGTGTAACATTGAAAATGATTTATGAAGTAAACTCACAATTCTAGAATCGAAAGACAAAAAGGCATTAAAATCTTCAAGGCCGAAAAAAGTCATTTACACGTAATTAAAAACTCAAAGATAATCCTTATATTTGAGCAAAAGGAAAATACTAAGCAAACATAAGATGACAACATGCTCAAAACCCAGGAACTTCAAGATCTGCTTGAACACTCTAATCAGAAAGTTGTTTAGTCGGATTGATCTCTTGGAAGCTAGTTTATAGCTTTGACATGTTAAATCAGCTGCTTTAAAAAAAATAACTGTAGGAGCCAAAACGCTTATTTGGTTGTTGTTTATTGCTTCTATCATATTATCATTTCTTAACAGCACAATTAAGTAACTTCCGGGAATTGTCACCTGGTTGTGGTGTAAGTTATTTAGTCCACCTGTTGTGTGCTGGGTTTGTGTGGAAAGAGGGTGATTCTGTTCGGATACCTTTTGTTTATCGTATGGTTCAACTCTGGTTGTTGTTTGTTTATTTTCTTTACTGAACATCGTGAGACTTAACCTCAGTACGGACTGCTTATTGGAAACGAGTCACAATGATTGGCCAAGTTTAGCTTCTAAGCGACATCATTTATTGGATGTTTTTGTGACTACAATCACTGATAGGCAAAAGGGTACAGCTTAACACTAACCCTAACCCTAATTCTTCCCCTAATGCTAACCCTACTTTTTTTAAGTGTGTGTTTTATAACAATTAAAAGTCTAAAAGGTTAGCAGACTGCAGGTTTGTGCCGAGAGAAACAGGTTGTACCATTTGGTTTGGCTTGCCATCAAGACACTAGTCATTAGCAAAAACTAAACATAAAAAAGGATTATCAAATATGTGGATATTAGAAGTGTGTGTATAATTGTCTGCTATCACATACATAAACTTTATCATCTTTGTTTCAGCTCTTATTTGAAGCAATATATGAGTTTAATATATTCATATTCAAAGACTCCCCAAAATGTATTTGGGATTCTTCGCAAAAATTTAAATTGAAACAGAAGGAGGCAAACATTTATTAATTAGTGATTTATTGATTTAGAATGAAACATATTCTTTCATAACTTAGGTGAAGCAATCACACACATTCACAAGTTAATAGTTGTTACAACAAACTTTAGACTAAGCTATTTTCATAATTTTCTACAATCATAAAGGTTTCTTCAATATAAAGAACTTAAGTTATATGATTAACAGAATCGTGACATATTTAGCGCACACTCACACACATAAGTACAATAACTTGACCTGGAATTAATTTATTATCATTATCTGTTGTTTACTTGATGAATAATCTAACCCTCACATGCACACAATAAATAGCATAATAAATATAATAATTTACATAAATTCAAAAGATTAAATATCAGCCATGTTTGCCACTGTTATTGATTAGTGAAAGTAAATATTCAAATTGTTGCCCCTTCCTCGGCTTTCTTCTCTGACTTTTTAAAGGAAATTATTAAACATGCATAATTTGACAGACAAATGTAAATTGGATTCTAAAAATCAAACATATAGGTAATAACTATATCTATGCATTTAACGGGTTAACCTTGAGCCCATGAATGCTGTCACACTGATGGTATGTTGCTTTTTAAAGCAGCGCAACAGCTATGAGAGCCACTGTGACAGAAATGAGACTGACTCTGTTGTTGATCGCAGCAGCTGCTGCCGCCTCTGCTCCAGCTGCTGCCGCCCCTGCTCCAGCTGCTGCCGCCTCTGCTCCAGCTGCTGCCGCCTCTGCCACAGCTGCTGCCGCCTCTGCTCCAGCTGCTGCCGCCTTTGCTCCAGCTGCTGCCGCCTCTGCTCCAGCTGCTGCCGCCTCTGCTCCAGCTGCTGCCGCCAGTCCTGTATCTACTGATGGTTCCTCTATTGCTGTACATGCTGCCATCGCTGTTGCTTTTGCCATCTGTGCCACTGTTTTTGCAGCTGCTATTGCTGCACGCTCTGCCTCTGTTAACCCTTCAGGTTCTGCTAATATTTTCTCAAGTTCTGCTACTTCCTTGTTGGCTGTCATGGCCACTGTTATGGCAGCTTGTTTAGCTTCTAGAAGTATTTCTGGCATTGGATTTGAGGATGCTGCCATTATTGCTGCATTTGCTCCTGTTGTTGCTGCCTCTGCAAATCTTTTTGCTGATAATGCTACTTTCATTGCAAGTAGAGCTGCTGATACTGGTGATGCTGCTTTTGCTGCCTCCTCTGCTGCCTCTGATGCTGCAACTGCTGCTTCCGCTGCTTTTTTTGCTTTGTCTGCTGCCATCTCTACTGTTATTAACCCTTCTGCAAGATTTTTAGCAGCAATTGCTGCTATTTCTGAAGCCTTTGCCGCGGTTTCTGCTGCTTCTCTTGCTTCTGGTCCAGCAGCTACTGCTGCTGCTGAGGCGGCTGCCGCTGCTGCTGCTGCTGAAGCTGTTGAGGCGACCACAGCTGCTACCTTTGCTGCTCCTGGATCTGCTGTTGATACTGCTACACTTCCGGGTGTTGTTGCTGATGGTATATTGGCTGCTCCCCCTTGAGATTCCGTTGGAAATAATTCTCCTGCTGCATTTGCTGCAACTGTTGCAGTTCTTGCTGTGGCTTGTGCTATTGATGCCATTATTTCTGTGTTGTCTGCTGCTGCAGCTATTGCTTCGGATTCTGCTGTTAATGCTGTTGCCTCTGTCATGCCTGCCACAGCTTTTGCAATTTTCCTTGCTGAGCGTATCTCCTCTGTCATTTTTGCGGCTTCCTGCTCTGAGACTGCTGATAATGCTTCTATTACTGCCTTAGCTGCTTGATCAACTGTCTTTGCAGCTTCTCTAGTTGCCTGAATTGCTTCTGGTGTTGCTCCTTCAGCTGCAGCTGTTGCTGCATCTGCTGCTTTTCTTGCCGCATTTGCTGCTTTCATTGATGCATCTGCTAATTCTGATAGTCCTCTTAATTGTGCTTCAATTGCTAATAGAGCTGCGGCGTCTGCTGCGTTTCTTGCTGCTAGTGCTGCCACTGATGGTGGTGCTTCTCCAGCTGCCACTTGTGTTGCAGCTCTTGCAGCTATTTGTGCAGCTCTTACAGCATTTTCTACTGCTTCTGATTTTGTTTCTCCGGCTGCTGCTGCTGTTGAGGCTGCCAATGCTGTTGCTGCTGCTGCTGCTGCAGTGGAAGTTGAAACTGTGGCTGCTGTTTGCCATTGTTCCTCTGTGAGTGGTGGCGCTGTTGTTGTTTGAGAAGAAGGTTGTTGTTCATTATTTGTAGGTGGGAGTGCGGCTTCTGCAGCTATTGCTGATGCTAATGAGCCTCTTGCTGATGCCTTTGCTGCTGCCTCCATTAATAATTTCACTTTCTCTGTTGTTGCTTTTCCAGTTGCTAATGATGCTGTCAATGCTGTTGCTTCTGTTATTTCTGCTGCTGCTTTTGCTGCAGTTAATGATCTTGCTACTTGCTCATTGGCAGAAGCCAATGCTGCATCAAATATGTCTGCTGCTTCTGAGGATGCTTCACCCACTGTGTTTATAGCTTCAGCAACTTTTGCAATTGCTGTCGGTTCACCCAAGGCTGCCATTGTTGCTGCCATTGCTGCTTCTTCAGCAGCCTTTGCTGTTAATGTTGACGCGTAGGAAAGTCGTGCAAGTGCTTGTGATGCTCGTGCTGTGTTTACTCTTTCTGCTGCTTCTTCAGCGGCAGCTTTGGCAGCTTTGGCAGCTTCATTTGCTCTATTTGCTGCTAATATTGGTGCCGCTCTACCCTCTAACACTGATGTAGCAGCTTCGGTTGCTGCCTTTGCAGCCTGGATTGCTTCTTTTGCAGCTGGGGATGATGTTGCTCCAGCAGCCGTTGCAGTGGCTCCTGCTGCTGCTGCTGCTACGGAAGCTGCGGCTGCTGCTGCTGAAGCTGAAGCTGCTGTCATTCTGGCTGCTTCTGTTGGCGTTAATGTTATGGGGTCTGATGTGGTTAATGCTGCGGTTGTTCTTGCTACTTTTGTTGTTGGCTTTGCTGTAGTTGCTGGGGTTGTTGTATCTGGAGCTACTGCATCTGCTGCTGCTACTACTCCCTTTGCGGCAATAGCCGCTGCTTTAGCTGCCTTTATTCCCTCTCGTGCCCTTTCTGTGGATTGTGCTGCCAATGCAATGGCTGCCTCACTTGTTGGCGCTGCAACAACTTCTGCTGCTTTTTCTGCCATGGCTCGAGCTTTGTTTGCGGTTTCTGCTGCCATTGTAGCTACTGTCTTAGCTGCATCTATTGCTAATTTCACAGCCGTCGCTACATCCGCAGGTAATTGCCCTACAGGTGCTGTTTTAAATAATGCTTCTAGTGCATTTGCTGCTTCTTCTGCTTCTCCTGCTGCTGTGTTTGCAGCTCTTATGGCAGCTGCTGCAGTTTCTGTCGTTGTTTCTGATCCTTCGATGCTAGCTGCTAATGTTGCTGCTGTTGCCGCTGATGTTGCTGCTGCTGCTGCTTTAATGGATACGGCAAGTGCTCTGTGTGCTAATGCTGCTGTTGCTGCTGGTGCTGCTGTTGCTGCTTCTATTGCTGATGTTGCCGCTGTTGTAGCCGCATCTGCTGACACTACTGCTGCTTCTGCTGCCACTTCTGGGGAAACCTTTCCTTCTGATAATGCTGCGGCATAATCAGCTGCTCTTATTGCAGCGGATGCAGCATTATTTGCAGTTGTTGGTGTTTTCCCTGCAGTGGCTGCTGTTATTGCTGCTGCTGCTGCTGCCACTGCTGTTGCTGCAGATGTTGCTGCTGTGGCTATAGCTGTTGCTGCTGCTGCGGCTGTAGGTAGTGGTGCTTTTGTTGTGGAATCTCCATCAGTGACTGGTGTTGTGTCTTCGGCAGCAGCAACATACGCTGCGGCAGTTGCTGCTGCTGCTTTTCCTGCAACAGCAGCTGCCTTTGCTGCTTCTGTCGCTTCCTTAGCCGCTTGAAATGCTTCTGTTGCCTTTTCAGCTTCAATTTCTTCAGTTGTTGCATGTAAAGAAGCTGCTGCATCTTCTGCTACCGTTTTTGCTTTAGCTGCTGTTAACTCAGCCATTTTCGTTGCTTTTTCAGCTGCTACAATTGTTAGTTGCATTATTGCTGTTTCTGGGTTTGCTGCACTTGTTTTGTTTTTAGCTTCTGTTAATGCTGCTCGTAGTGCTGCTAAAGCTCTTCCTGCACCTGCTGCTGCCTCTGTTGCAGCTTCTGTAGCTTCCTCTGCAGTTTCTGCTGTCTTTGCTAATGCCGCCATATCTGCTGCCTCTGCTGCCTTATCTGCTGCAACTGATACATTTGATAATGCCTCTGTAATTCTCACTGCTACCTCTGCTGATAATGTTGGTGCTGTCTCAATTGCTTTCTGCGCTGCACTTATTGCCAATTTGGCTGCTTCTGTTGCTTTCTTTGCTAGGTCTGCTGCTAGTTCTGGTGATAAGGATCCATTGATTACTGCTGCAGCAGCTGTGGCTGCTTCTTGTGCTGCCTTAGCTGCAGCTTGTGCAGCTTCAGCTGCTGCTGCAGAGGCGGGTCCAGTAGTGGCTGCTACTGCTGTTGCTGCTGCTGTTGCTGCTGCTGTTGAGGCTATCGCTGCGGCTGTCGCTGCTGCTGTTGCACTAGCAGCTTTTACTGCTTCCGAGGATGCTCTTTTTGTCGGTTTCATTGTAGTTGGTGCCAGAGTTGTAGGTTTTTGAGTTGTTGATCCAGAAACCGCTGCTGCTGCTGCAGCCGCTGTGTCTGCGGCTACCTTAGCTGTCTCAAGTGCTTCAGCTACTGTTTCCTCGGTGGTTGGGTTTGCAGCAGTTAACAAGGCTTCTGCTGCTTTTTCGGATGCTGCATTTGCGAGCTGCATTGCTGGTGTTTCTGGGTTTGTGGCACCTGTTTGTTCTTTAGCTTCTGCTAATGCTGCTCGTAGTGCTGCAAAAGCTCTTCCTGCACCTGCTGCTGCCTCTGTTGCAGCTTCTGTAGCTTCCTCTGCAGTTTCTGCTGTCTTTGCTAATGCCGCCATATCTGCTGCCTCTGCTGCCTTATCTGCTGCAACTGATACATTTGATGATGCCTCTGCAATTCTCTCTGCTACCTCTGCTGACAATTCTGGTGCTGTTTCAATTGCTTTCTGCGCTGCACTTATTGCTATTTTGGCTGCTTCTGTTGCTTTCTTTGCTAGGTCTGCTGCTAGTTCTGGTGATAAGGATCCATTGATTACTGCTGCAGCAGCTGTGGCTGCTTCTTGTGCTGCCTTAGCTGCAGCTTGTGCAGCTTCAGCTGCTGCTGCAGAGGCGGGTCCAGTAGTGGCTGCTGCTGCTGTTGCTGCTGTTGCTGATGCTGCTGCTGCTATAGCTGATGCCGTGGTGGCTGCCTTTGCACTTGCTGCTTTCACTGCTTCTGCTGTTCCTATGGTTGATGCTTTCATTGTAGTTGGTGCCAGAGTTGTAGGCTTTTGAGTTGTTGATCCAGAAACCGCTGCTGCTGCTGCAGCCGCTGTGTCTGCGGCTACCTTAGCTGTCTCAAGTGCTTCAGCTACTGTTTCCTCGGTGGTTGGGTTTGCAGCAGTTTCCAAGGCTTCTGCTGCTTTTTCGGATGCTGCATTTGCGAGCTGCATTGCTGGTGTTTCTGGGTTTGTGGCACCTGTTTGATTTTTAGCTTCTGCTAATGCCGCTTGTAGTGATGCAAAAGCTCTTCCTGCACCTGCTGCTGCCTCTGTTGCAGCTTCTGTAGCTTCCTCTGCAGTTTCTGCTGTCTTTGCTAATGCCGCCATATCTGCTGCCTCTGCTGCCTTATCTGCTGCAACTGATACATTTGATAATGCCTCTGCAATTCTCTCTGCTACCTCTGCCGATAATGTTGGTGCTGTCTCAATTGCTTTCTGCGCTGCACTTATTGCTATTTTGGCTGCTTCTGTTGCTTTCTTTGCTAGGTCTGCTGCTAGTTCTGGTGATAAGGATCCATTGATTACTGCTGCAGCAGCTGTGGCTGCTTCTTGTGCTGCCTTAGCTGCAGCTTGTGCAGCTTCAGCTGCTGCTGCAGAGGCGGGTCCAGTAGTGGCTGCTGCTGCTGTTGCTGCTGTTGCTGATGCTGCTGCTGCTATAGCTGATGCCGTGGTGGCTGCCTTTGCACTTGCTGCTTTCACTGCTTCTGCTGTTCCTATGGTTGATGCTTTCATTGTAGTTGGTGCCAGAGTTGTAGGCTTTTGAGTTGTTGATCCAGAAACCGCTGCTGCTGCTGCAGCCGCTGTGTTTGCGGCTACCTTAGCTGTCTCAAGTGCTTCAGCTACTGTTTCCTCGGTGGTTGGGTTTGCAGCAGTTTCCAAGGCTTCTGCTGCTTTTTCGGATGCTGCATTTGCGAGCTGCATTGCTGGTGTTTCTGGGTTTGTGGCACCTGTTAGATTTTTAGCTTCTGCTAATGCCGCTTGTAGTGATGCAAAAGCTCTTCCTGCACCTGCTGCTGCCTCTGTTGCAGCTTCTGTAGCTTCCTCTGTAGTTTCTGCTGTCTTTGCTAATGCCGCCATATCTGCTGCCTCTGCTGCCTTATCTGCTGCAACTGATAAATTTGATGATGCCTCTGCAATTCTCTCTGCTACCTCTGCTGACAATTCTGGTGCTGTTTCAATTGCTTTCTGCGCTGCACTTATTGCTATTTTGGCTGCTTCTGTTGCTTTCTTTGCTAGGTCTGCTGCTAGTTCTGGTGATAAGGATCCATTGATTACTGCTGCAGCAGCTGTGGCTGCTTCTTGTGCTGCCTTAGCTGCAGCTTGTGCAGCTTCAGCTGCTGCTGCAGAGGCGGGTCCAGTAGTGGCTGCTGCTGCTGTTGCTGCTGTTGCTGATGCTGCTGCTGCTATAGCTGATGCCGTGGTGGCTGCCTTTGCACTTGCTGCTTTCACTGCTTCTGCTGTTCCTATGGTTGATGCTTTCATTGTAGTTGGTGCCAGAGTTGTAGGCTTTTGAGTTGTTGATCCAGAAACCGCTGCTGCTGCTGCAGCCGCTGTGTCTGCGGCTACCTTAGCTGTCTCAAGTGCTTCAGCTACTGTTTCCTCGGTGGTTGGGTTTGCAGCAGTTTCCAAGGCTTCTGCTGCTTTTTCGGATGCTGCATTTGCGAGCTGCATTGCTGGTGTTTCTGGGTTTGTGGCACCTGTTTGATTTTTAGCTTCTGCTAATGCCGCTTGTAGTGATGCAAAAGCTCTTCCTGCACCTGCTGCTGCCTCTGTTGCAGCTTCTGTAGCTTCCTCTGCAGTTTCTGCTGTCTTTGCTAATGCCGCCATATCTGCTGCCTCTGCTGCCTTATCTGCTGCAACTGATACATTTGATAATGCCTCTGCAATTCTCTCTGCTACCTCTGCCGATAATGTTGGTGCTGTCTCAATTGCTTTCTGCGCTGCACTTATTGCTATTTTGGCTGCTTCTGTTGCTTTCTTTGCTAGGTCTGCTGCTAGTTCTGGTGATAAGGATCCATTGATTACTGCTGCAGCAGCTGTGGCTGCTTCTTGTGCTGCCTTAGCTGCAGCTTGTGCAGCTTCAGCTGCTGCTGCAGAGGCGGGTCCAGTAGTGGCTGCTGCTGCTGTTGCTGCTGTTGCTGATGCTGCTGCTGCTATAGCTGATGCCGTGGTGGCTGCCTTTGCACTTGCGGCTTTCACTGCTTCTGCTGTTCCTATGGTTGATGCTTTCATTGTAGTTGGTGCCAGAGTTGTAGGCTTTTGAGTTGTTGATCCAGAAACCACTGCTGCTGCTGCTGCTACAGTTGATGCTTTCACTGCTGGTGAAGACATTGTGGGTTTGGTTGGACCGATTGTAGTATTTGAAGGACACTTGTCTTTTAGGCGTCCTTCAGCAGGCTGGCTGTAGGATGCTGTTTCAAATATAGAGATCAGAATTCAGTTAGATAAATAAACATTTGGTAGATATTTCAATTTTTAATACAGCACTTGTATTACCTACCAATAAGCACAAGGCCAATTATAACGATTTTGATGATCATTTTGCTTTGTTTCTTTTCTCCTCCACTTTCTCTTCGAAAATGACATATGATCATCCCCTGAAAGAAAAATGAAATTACATTCTTAATCCGAACAAAATATGGCATACTGTAAAGTTTAAAATAATAACATTTCAGTTTGTAGTTGAGCGTTTGTTACATTGTACTGTATGTGGCATTTATACAATTAAAACGTGTATAATTTGGTCGTATTTAATAATTACAAATGTTGACTTTTCCTTTTCTTTTTGTGTGTAAATGGCCTAATTTCTTTGCAAAAAATGTATTAACACAATTTAAAAGGAAAATAATAATCCAAAAGCAATCAAATACTAGTAAGAACTAAAGAAAGCACTGCTGGTGGAAGGGTGTAATACTTCCTACTGTTAATGCAGCCACACCTTACACACAGAGACAGAATTATCTACTACCATTAGTGCCAATACTTCATATGAAATAAAACGTATGACTGGGAGTGGATACAACACAACTCTACTCAAAAATTCCTTCTTATAGACAATTTACAACCCAAAGGGATATTTTGTAATTGTTTAATGATCTGATTTGTCGTTAGCGGAATTTTGAAAATGTATATCAAAGATTAGAAGTTGTAATACAAAAGTTAACAATAATTATAATAATTTATTTGTATTTTCCTGTGATAATTTATCTAATACAAATTTGACAAATTATAAAATATGATCATCTTTCTTCTATTTTGTTATTATCAGCAACAACACACCTAAATGACAGATATAACATAAAAAAAGAAAAAACCTAGTTTTAGAAATCAAAGTGGTACAGCCACACCTTACACAATGACACACCATAGTCAACTACAATTTAATTGTGCTAATAATCCCAATTTGCTTCAACCGCAGCTCAAACTTGAAATACATGCCAGGAAAATATTTTAGAAAGCATCGAAGAACAAAACAAATGTCATCAGCATCGTGCTGCTGTGTACTGACAACATATAGTGACCGACCCTAAACCTGACCCCAACACACCACAAATATGCTCTAAAGTCCTACTGCCCGTCAGATGCACAACTTTTCACACAATCTATGGAATGAAAAACAAATGGCAACAAATAATTCCACCTGATCTGATAAATGGTAAATCAAATACCAAGGATACAGCCCTCTACGAAGTAAACAAACCTCTGGCTAAGTTTGCCTTCCTGTGCAATTATTGACTAAGACTCGCATAAAATCAAGTTCGGAGATAATTTAGAACACAAATAATGGGGGATATTCTTTACCACACTAATATTGACAAATGTTTGGTTGCAAAACTAAAGCAAAATATTTGTTGTAAAATTACTTTTGGAATTTGGAATGAACTTTACCAAAATCGCATTGAGTGTAAACCGTCACCAACAATTTAAATCAAGATCTAGAAATATTTTATTAGCAGACAACACAAACTAACCAAAAATGGGTTTACCCAAAATAATAGAAAGGTTGTTTTTGTTTTTTTTGTTTTCTTGTCGACCTGAACAAAAATATCCTGATTTAGTTTGATTGTCTGTTTCATTAATTGCCTGTATTTATATTTAATAACTTGAATAAAAAAAAAGAATAAAAAAAAAAAGATTTGTAATACATTAAATAAAAGAACTGAAAAAAGTGTCAATGTAGTTTTCTATGATAATGGAGCCATCTGAGCTTCACATAGTTTACAATGATGAAAAAACACATTAGAATATTAGGTACCACTTTACAATAAGACTACCCTTATAAAAGGTTTACGAATAGTTTGTAATTCATTTATTAATTAGGTTGTGAACACTTTATAAGTCATTAAAGTCCTAAAAGTTTAAAAATGTTCACTTTAGAATCTGACATTTAAGAAATCAAAAGGATTTTAAATAATCAATGAATGACTTACTTGTATGTTGTTTTAAAGACAAGTAAAGTGAAATTATGCGTTTTCCTCGGGGGTCACTTGCCGTATCTCGGTTCCTTTTGAGTTTGAATTTGCTCTCTGTCTCAGGGTTTATTTATATTCCAGATTCACGTCACAGAATACACACTTATTGAGTAATTAATGATAATGATAATGATTGTAGACATGGAGTTGTCCCCTCCCAGGTTAAGGTGGAGTCCATAGCGCCTTCTTTCTCTTCACAGTAATTGGATGCTGTGTGTTTAATAGAGATGTGTAACTTGATGAGTGACATTTCTTGCAATTATGAAATGACAACAACCAGTAATTAAGAAATGTTTTGCCTTGTGAGCCACACAGGTTTACGTCAAAACTATAGCAACTGTGACATCACAATGAGCCATTTGAATAGTTGAAAAATTACTGCCACGATAATTTCTTTGATGACTTGAGTGTTCTCATTTTCAGAACATTGTCATCATTTTCAAATGTTTTGTTTGTTTGTAACCAGACCTTTATCTTTTTTCATTCTGCTTCTGAAAACAATATGAAGGGAAAGAAGAACTGTCTTTATAGATATGGTATAATCAATATTTTCTGAATGCCATGTGTGTTTTTGGTTATTGTGTGTATCGGACAGTCAACCTATGCATTGGACATTTTGAAGGGTTTGTATTTTTTCAATCTATATCTATTTGTATCTTTATTATTATTATTTTTTGTATTTGACTTAATTTGTATAACGGTCCGAGGACTGACAATATCAGGTTATTATTATTATATTCAGTAAAAAATGTGCAGATTAGAGGGCCTAAATGTTTTTAGAAAACATCTCTGAACAAAATCCAGTTTATGATTTTTATACCAGGTGCTGACACCAATTGGTAACATAAAATAATTGGGCTTTAAGGTGGGTGAGAAGTTGAGAGACCACGAGAAAGGAAACCTCCTGCAAAAACCAGATTGTCAAACAAAACACAGACAAGCCCCAGTTTTGGAAAGGTGCTATTTGATGTATTGAGCGACAACCAGTTTGAAGAGTCTGACAGGGATAACCTTTCTGTTGCTTAACAACAACCAAAGAAACAAGGAAATGGCTGAGTCCAAGGTGAACTTACAAAGTGAAACCTGACTCAACACATACTATACAATCTTGACATGAACCAGAAGACAACATTTAGGAAGATTTTTATTTTGAAGATTAAGGTCAGTGATTTTGGTAACAAAATACCCATCTTTATACTGTCTTGAGGCAAAGAGCATCCACCACTGTTCAGAATAATCAGAGCTCTCTGTTCATCCATCCATCTTCTCCCGCTTATCCGTAGTTGGGTCGCAGAGGTAGCAGTTCCAGCAGAGAGCTCCAAACTTCCCTTTCCCTGGCCACATCAACCAGCTCTGACTGGGGGATCCCAAGGCGCTTCGAAGCCAGCGAAGAGATATAATTCCTCCACCTGGTCCTAGGTCTGCCCCTTGGTCTCCTCCCAGCTGGACGTGCCTGGAACACCTCCCTAGGGAGGCGCCCAGGTGGCATCCTTACTAGGTTCCTGAACTACTTCAACTGGCTCCTTTCAACGCGAAGGAGCAGCGGTTCTACTCCGAGTCCCTCCCGGATGACTGAACTTCTCACCTTATCCCTAAGGGAGATGC